ATTTAAATCGGAGAACGACTTGTGTTGTAATTTCTGTAATTCTCAGTAGTGATACCTACATTTTCTCTTTATGCCTTATCCTTTCCCATCCCTTCTATACAAATACCCACTGCTCCTTTAAATCACACTTAATTAAGAGATTTTTCTGTTTTTTTTTTCACCTGTTGTCTCATATTGGAAGCAGGTTAATCCAGAATCTCTAATAAATGCAAATGAAATAAAGAGAACCATGAGTTCAAGATTATTTTAGCTTCACTGGCATAATTGTTAATATCTCCCTGTCCCCTAGGAAGTGTAGGATTACATCAATTAAATTGGTCTCTGTAACAGAACACAGTAACCATAAATGTGAGAATTGTGTGTTCACCAGCACCCTTTAGGTATTTAATTTGCTTGGCTGTAATAGATTGTCAGAGCAGTAAATGTGAGGCAAGTAATGTAAACGGTATAATGATGGTAATTATCTGAATGGATCGATCATTGTGGTATTGCAACGTGATATGGGTAGGAGCAAGATGTAGGCACCCCATATAAATTCTCATTTTCAGCTTTATTTTCTCACATGTTTTTTTCCAAGATGTTTAAAGTGAAAACAACATAAACTGGCACTGCATTTCTCTCCATTATCTCTTTCCATTATCCTTTGTGCTGTTACCTTAGCCAGCACCATCGGATTCCACCAAAGCTACATTGCTCCAAAGAAAGCAGTGATTTTCTGGAATTGGAACTCTATCAGTCTCCTTTGTGGTTCATGATATCTAAATATTTGAACTAGAAGTCCCTTTAGGTTGGCTAGTATGTTTCCTTCATTTATTAACTAAAGAACTATAAATCAGCAAAGTTAAATAGCCTGCTAGAAATTTTACACCCTGGTATTGCCTAAAATCTATAGAACTGGAACCCAGAACCTGCCCTCCAACCTGGGCTGGGAGAGAAAATGAGTGGTTGTACCCGCTCAGGGTATGGAGGAGGTTCCAGGTAACAGGCCAGAAGCAATCCTTGAAGGAAGCAGCAACAAGGAGGGAAAAGCTTGCTGTTTGTTGGGGGAGGGAAATGAAGAATTGAAACAGTTAAGAATAACCAGTGCTTACAAAGTCCAAAGGGGTGATCAGCCTCCAAGCAGGACTGGCTGTATGGCAGATGTCTGCCTATGGTGAAAACTGAAGGGACATGACAGGATCCTGCCTGTCTAAGCATTGCTAAAACAAGGATGCAGGCCCAGAGGAACAAAGTTGAAAACAAGGATAAGAACTGAATCCTGAAGTGAAAACAGTGTTCACACCCTGGCATTGGAGCAGTACTGAGGTGAGATGGTCTGATCTTCACCTGGATGGCAGGAGCCCCTTCAAACAGACTTTCCCAGCAGTTTTGCTCAACTTGTTTGCTCCCTCTTGTCTGAATCATTTCACCCAAGTTTCATTGTCAATTAAAGTAACATACTGGCATAAATATGAAACTTTTCACACCTCTCCCAAACAAAACATTTAGATCGACAGGAAACAAATAAAACCACACAGAACCCTTGCCTTCTCATTATCAAAACCAGACAACACTCAACTTTCAAATTACTGTAAGTAGAAAAATAAAGATCAGCTTCCTACAGAACTATTGCTATAAGCTTGTGTGCCCAAGCACCATGGAAGAGGAAGGCATAGCAGGAAATATGTCTAGAATGAGAAAACCAAATACCACATGGTCAGCACTAATCACTTGGGGAGATATGGCTCAAGGGAGGGCTGAGAGGCAGGTCTCAAAAGTGCTTGTACCCAAGGGGGCAGTCTCAGATGGGTAACATATCTGGGGAAAAGGATATAAAGAGAAAAGAGGAGGTAAACTAGGAGATGTGACAGTTAAAGGGAAGAGGGGAAATTCAAAATGCTATAGAAATAAAAGAGAATTTAAGACCATCCTCCCCCAATCACAGCCCATGAAAGGAGCAAGCAAGGGTAGGGGCAAGGGCAGAAGAATCCTGTGTAAAGTTGATATGTTCTGAATGGAGGAAGAATGCAACTAAAATGAAGAGAAGAAAAAGAAGAGAAAGGGGACGACCAACTGTTGCATTTGTGATGGTGAGAAGGAGACATTGAGACCAAACGGATAAGGAACACTATTGGAGAACAGCATTCTGAGTGAGGTTAGCCTGGCCCAAAAGACCAAAAATCGTATGTTCTCCCTCGTATGTGGACATTAGATCAAGGGCAAACACAACAAGGGGATTGGACTTTGAGCACATGATAAAAGCGAGAGCACACAAGGGAGGGATGAGGATAGGTAAGACACCTAAAAAACTAGCTAGCATTTGTTGCCCTCAACGCAGAGAAACTAAAGCAGATACCTTAAAAGCAACTGAGGCCAATAAGAAAAGGGGACCAGGAACTAGAGAAAAGGTTAGATCAAAAAGAATTAACCTAGAAGGTAACACACACACAACACAGGAAATTAATGTGAGTCAACTCCCTGTATAGCTATCCTTATCTCAACCAGCAAAAACCCTTGTTCCTTCCTATTATTGCTTATACTCTCTCTTCAACAAAATTAGAGATAAGGGCAAAATAGTTTCTGCTGGGTATTGAGGGGGTGGGGGGGAGAGGTAAGGGGTGGAGTGGATGGTAAGGGAGGGGGTAGGGGCAGGGGGGAGAAACGACCCAAGCCTTGTATACACATATAAATAATAAAACAATAAAAAAAATTTAAAAAAGTAATTGGGACCAAAAAAAAAAAAAAAAAAGAAACCTGCAAGAGGTAGGCAGGGATAGGGTGGGAGAGGGAGAGACTCCTCATTGAGTACACACCTCAGTATAGTTTTGACTTTTGGAAGCATGTGAAGCTTTATGTATTCAAAACAATAAACTGAAATCTAGAAGAGGGATATTAAATTTGAATTCTTCAGAAACAAATGAAGTTAACTGAATTTCAAATGCATAACATAACCACACTATAGGTGCAGGTGGAAAACCAAACTAGTGACATTTGAACATGGAATTTTTATTACATACCTTCATTCTTAAGAAAAAACAAACAGTGAACTCTTCTAGTATTTTTCATAGTGTAACAATTTTGTTTGCACCATGGGGTTGAACAAACCAGTAAATACAATGATGTTGGGAGCCCAGATTCTCACAACACAGAAAAGAAGGTACAGATATGAAAAGTGGATGGTGAGGAAGAAGGAAGAATAATGCAGGATGTTGAGGGTAGGCAGAAGGGAGAAGAAATCCTTCCACTGACAGGGAGGGGAGGCATTGGCTTCTCAGAGCATCTGCACCTGGATTGGGGTTTCCAGGTATCAATCCCCAAGAAGAAGTAGGATTCCTTGGAGAATGGCTGCTTTTAGTGTTGAGACAAGGACAGTGCAAGATGGGTTTGGGATGCTTGTCCGTGACAAAAAAGAAAGTGTTTTAAAAATGATGGATATGTGTCAAAATGATACAGACAATAGCTTAAAGAGGTTTGCCAGCCCCACGCAAGGGCAATTTGAGCACTAAAAATAATGACAATAACGACTTAAAACTCTGAATAATAGGACAATCTATGTTTACATACCAATAATGTAGAATATATGCTTCCTCATACAAGAGCGTAAGTGTACAGTGGTTCTCCCTTATCTGTGGTTTCCTTTTCTACAGTTCCAGGTACCTACTATAGACTGTAGTGTGAACATATTGAATAGAAAATTCCAGAAATAAACCATTGATAAGTTTTAAATTGCACACCACTCTGAGTAACATAATGAAATCTCTGCCATGATGCTGGGAATGTGAATCATCCCTTTAATAATACCCACTCTATGTAGGCTACCTGCCTCTTCGTCACTTTGTAGCTGCCTCGGTTGTCAGACAGACTATCACAGTATCACAGTGGTTATCTTGAGGTGGCCCGTTTTACTTAATAACGACTCCAATGTGCATGAACAGTAATGCTGGCAATTTTGTTAGAGTACATTGGAATAATTATCCTGTTTTATCATGAGTTCATCTTACTGTGTCTTATCAATAAATTAAACTTTAACTTAGGTATGTATGCCTTAGGAAAAATATAGTATATAGTCTTCCATCCCTTAATAATGGGATACATTCTGAGACATTAGGCAATTTTATGGTATGAGCATCATAAAGTGTACTTAATTAAGCAAACTAGACAGCTACTAGTCTATAGGCTATATAATCTCATAGAACCACCAACACACATGCAGCCCACCATTGACCAAAATGTCATTTTGTGGTGTATGACTGTACATATGGTTCAGTACTACCCTGGCTTTCAGTGACCCTCTGGAGGTCTTGGAATGTATACCTTGCAGATAAGGGGGACTGCTATCAATAGAATGGAGTTAGAAATCACGATTTGCAGTCAAAGTAATCATTGACTCAAGAACTACTGATGGTTGCTAAAACAGGTAACTGAAAGTTTGATTAGCAATAGGATATTTTCATATTCTCAAAATATTTCCCCCTCAAACTCTTTATAAATTGCAAAAGAAAAGAATAGTTCAAGTCTTACATTTCTCATTGCCTTCTTATGTTCAAAAGTCATTGATTAACAATACAAATAACATGTTTAGCTTGCGTTTGGAATTACACATTTGAGACTTTATCTGAGATTCTTTTCTGTGGGCCTTAATAAATACTAGACTGTGAGATTCTGACAGGACTTAATGAAGTGGATTGAGGCATTTCTTACATTTACATTTTCATAGAATGAGATAAACATTGTAATCTTTCTACGGAACACTCACATCAAACTATGATTTGATTTTCTACCTGTTCAGAATATCAAGCTTTGCATTTCTTAAAATTGTAATGTATTGTCATGAGCAAGTTGATAAGACAAAAGTTATTCCTGAGAAGTTCATAACAGTAGTTAGAGCAAACTTGTCAAAGGTACTTTTAAAAGATTATTTGGGATCCTGAGGAGATATATTTAGTAACTATATTGGATAAGTTGTCACACAACACAACACTTCATTGATTTATCTGTGTTATTTCTATATCTTACTGCAGGCGGAGAATTCAGCTTTGGCTTTGGAAAATGAAAATCAAAGAGAGCAATATGAGAGGTGTCTTGATGAGGTAAGGCGAATAAAAGGCCCATAGTAAGAAGCTGTACTAGATAGAATTCATAGTCAGATCTTAGCGCATGTGCATTGCATGCTCCCACAGAACATTAGCAAACGTGGCCACTGAGAAAGATCAGTCAGAGAGAGAGAGAGAGAGATATGAGTGTCTCGCTGTTCATCTGTCTTTCCCCCTTTCCTCCCTAATACTTTATACAGGTTTCTTTAAGTTCCTTTTGGTTATTGTTTTCTATTCTTGGGGCACAGTTGGGGGATGCTTCACTGTTGGATAAATTCTTCTGTTCAGTAAGTGTGATCCTTGCCTATGAATGAGAAAATCCACATCAGGGCACACTGCACCTGCAATTGGATACTGTTTCTCAAAAAAGCGAATCCTTGATAGAGTGGGTGGGGATGATGTTCACAGTTGGCAGCCAGAGGGGAACAAATCCGAAGATTGAGCACAAGCCAAAAAGAGAAAGGGAAGTGAGGAAGAAAATTTGAGCGAATGGAAGAAGACAGAGCCACACGCATGAGTAAACTCAGTAAATATTATTTGATGATAATGAGGAGATGAGGGCAAAGATAGCAGGCATTTGAGTTTCTGGAAGGCATGTGGAAGATTGCAGTGTGTGCAGAGGCCTCGGGGTCCTCCCCTCTACTGCTCCCCTCACACTGTCAGACATAAGACCAAGGACCCAAACTGTGTCTTCCTGCCAGGACCACCCATTCGCTTCACTGAGAAGTTCTCCTCTGAGACTTGTCAGTGATGGGAGTCATTATTTAAATGGGATAACTTCCTTTGGCATCTGGCCAAAACCCTAAACTCCTAGACATTCTGGAAGAGTCAATTTGAGATGTGTTACAGTGTAGCTGAACAGATTTTAGAAAAACAAGAAAAACTGCACTTAATCTTGTTCTATTACTTTACCGGTGGGAATTACCAATGTCTTCAGCCTTTTTCTCCTCACTAGCAATTCAGGAAACCTTTTTTCCAACAAACTTCTCTTGATATCTTTTACCCTTTCTATCCCCTTCTTCTCCCAAAAGTTGCTGGATTGGACTGTGCTGATCATACAGTCAAATCCCATTCATATCCCCACAACACCACCATGTCCCCCCATTCATCCCTTCAAACTGAAGTGTCAGTCTCTGAACTCTAGTACTGGTTGCCCTTGAGGTTATCCCTATCCAGCTGTTGAGGAATTCAGATTCTCAAGCCCTGTCCCAGCAAGCTGTGTGTCACCAGGCGCTCCAGCTGATGCTGGTGCACCTGCTGCATATGGCACTCCATCCTCATAACACAGACCACCTGGTACATAGGTTTAATAGTTGATGTTTGCTGTTTGAATTGTTCAGTATTTCTAGGCATATACATTAGTCACTCCAGCAAAATGGTGTTTGTAATACTCTGCTGTATCAAGACTTTAAAAGACCAGAATCATCTTTGCAATGTTCAAAGTTAAAAAATAATCACAAAAGTCAGTTGACATAAAAGGACATAATGAGTCAAGGTCTGGTGAAACCAGTTCAGCAGCCTTCACCCCCTGCTCCCTGGGCTCTTGGTCTATTCAAAGTCTAGGGCAAGGAAGACCAAATATATCTGAGTGTATTTAAGGGAACAAATAATGCCCTCGGGTCTTAAATATTGATCAGCAAAATTTCGTTTTAACCTTCTGCACTGAAATTTCCAATGAGACTTTATCTATATTTAGAAGTCAAATTTCTGTGGCTCACACCCCAGAAACTTCTAAGTTGGCACAGGTTACCCCTGTGAAAAAACTCACAGCATTTCTTTATAGGAACCACATTCTGTTTTCTGTATGTTCCCCAGGCCTGCATTGTATAGGTTTCATCGAAATGTATCAAGCAAAATACAAGTTTTCACCCACAAAATCATTTTCTATAGTTTCCACTGAATGCAGCATTTTTTAAGTGAGAGTCCCTCTGTTCCTAATTGTAAAAATTAACAGTTGCCAGAGAAGAGACTTGCCACAAAGAACCCACCTCTGAGCAGTACAAATGTTTTGTATTCATGAATACTGGCCCCTGATTACACATGCCAGTTATTTTGTAACTAATTGCATGAGGTAGACAATCCATTTCCATGCATTGTAAGAGAACACCCTCAAAGGGGTAGTTCAGTGCAGTAATAATGCCAACTGGAAATTCCTTTCAAGGCTTTTTATACTAATTAGACAAACTAACAAGGTAAGACCTCATGTAAGTTATTTCCTTGCTAGTAGGTTTCATAAAGCATACTCCAGTGGATACCACGTGCTTTTCAAACGTTCCTCAATCCTTTTTGCCCTGATTATTATTTTCTGGGAAATGAACATATTGAGGATTTGGGGAAAACACTTGGGAGTCTGAAATTTCTTCTGTATTTTCTACTAAAAGAGGGAATTTATTCAGCAGTAAGCAGATGCTCATGCATAGAGAGATATGTACACCCACATGAACCCTGGCTTGGCCATGCATGCATATACACACAACACACAACACACACAAGTGCACATACACAACACCCAACATACACACAAGTGCCCACACACACTTCACCATTGCCTCTACTGTTGTCTTTCTCCTTGTTTCTTTACCTTGCAGTACAAAGGCAAAACTAAGCATTTATCTCATTTTTTCCTTGAGAGGTTGGGGGATCTGAGGTTTGAATCAAGTTTCTTGGCCTAACCATCTGACAGACAATTTACTAGTGAGGCTGAATTGCTGTTTATTCACAGTATTGCCTTGGCCACAGTTCCTTTCAGACCAAGTATTCCCATGTAGAAAAGTGTAATGGCAGGTAGCAAAGAAGTAAAATGTCATCCCCTAAAACCTCTGCATTGCGTTTGGATGGATTGAGTGGTATTCTGCAAACCTTGCCAGGTGTCAGTCCACCCAGGCCCTAGAGCTTATGTCACTCCCAGCCTAGGGGAAATGAGGGGTTGGATGATCACAGAGTAAGAAAGTTAGAGACATTCACAGAGCAAATGTGCTCTACTCTGGGGACTTCCGGGAACAGATGGCACAGTTGCCAGAAGACAGGAGGAGCTGGGGCAGAGAAGGGCAGGCTTGAAGAGAACATCTTCAGTGGGAAGAGTTGGAGCAGGTGAGGTTTTCCATCCAGACAGGAAGGTGGCTCTCACCCTAATGTGCTTATTGAGTTTGCCTGAAGAGCTTTGAAAATGTTACTGGCTGTGTCCCACCCCCTCCCCTATTCTGATCCTGGGCATTTAAGTTTTTTAGAGCATTCCAGGAGACTGTAATGCTCAGCCCAGGTGACAAATCACTTCAATAAAGCCCTGAGCGCTGTGCCTAGGCAGTGTTTTAAGAAGGCCTGTATAAGAGGATAGTGCATGGAGCTGAACCTGGATGTAATGATGGAAAGCCATGGGCCCAGGTGGAAGTTTGGAGTTATTTCTGAATTAATGGAAAGCTACTTTACAAACCATAAAATAATTCCCTTCCCAGTGTTTCTGAAAGTGTGTTCCTTGAACCCTCTGCAGCAGAAAGATGTAGAATGGTTGTGAAAAATTCAAATTCTTCGACCTCACTTGGCCCTACTCAGTTGGTATGTTGGCAGAGGAAATGGGCAGTTTTCACAGTCATTGCATGTGGTGGAGTTTCTGCATGTAAAGTTGAGGAAGACATCGCCCCTTCAGTCCACCTGACCCAACCAAGTCCTTAGAACCAGTGAAGACCCCATAGGTGAGTTCTCTGACTTCTGTTACTCCAGAACCCAAAGGCAGGGAAAATGAGATCACTGGATGTGGTTTAGAAATAGAAAACAGAATTTTTTTGGATCAAGGCCAAATGAAGATAGAAGTAGGTTGTTAAGATCAGTTCCCACCTATCTCTGATCCATACGCTATGTGCCTAGACTAGATTGGGGAATTATTACCAGGTGGTTCTCAGGCATATCCCACTACAGAACTCTTTAAAGTCAATGTCTCCATAGAAAATGACCTGCTTATGACTTTTACATGTTCCAAATGCCTACACCATGAATGGATCGTGAAATGCACAGACACTTTTATTCTTGTCTGCCTCAGACACTAACCACCTTGAGGCAGCACCTATGTTACATTTACAATTATTTCTCCCAAACCCAGCATGATTCTTGACCCATTCTAGGTGCCTAATAGATATTTGTTAAATGACTAATGAATGAATGGAGACTATCAGCAGGAAATTAATTTCCAAACTAGTTTCCCCAAAATCCCACATACATATTTAAACTAATTTCTTTAGTGATCTCTTAGAGATGAATAGTCATTTATTATGCACCAACCCCAAAGATAATCTGAAGGTTAAAGTAGCTGGAAAAAATAGGAGACCCATTTAAAAGACTTATTTTCATTGAAAGAGACCACATGGGCTTTGGATGGTGAGGACTCAGGTTCAACTCTGTCACAACTGCCCTCATCCAGTGGCATATGGGCAAGTAATTCCCTCTTCAAGCTTCTTGCTTACTCACTTTTATCTGACAGAAGTGTTGCACAAAATAAATGAATGATGTATATTCTAAGTGACTTATATTTATACACGTATACTATGTCACACACAGACACACACACACACATACACACACACACCCTTATTCCCTTATTAAAATCCTTTATTCTTATTCTTAAGCCATTTTTTCTTAGCTTCTTACCTGAAAAGGAATTATATTCTCTGGCATTCACCCTCTTAATTCACATTTAACATTGACAGAGTCACCCATCCTGGTGGCTTCTCTGATTATGTCTATTGTCCCATGCATTTTTCACTTTAGAGGCAGACAGTTGCCCTATTTAGTGGATGGGGGAAGTCAGGATATTCCCTCTTCCATACATATCAGTATCTAATACAGGCAGTCTTCGAACTAGGTGTTTTTTGTGACTCTGGCCCAGTATTCTTCTGCTTTCCTCCAGCTGCCTCAGTACAGTAAATCAAAGCTTTGAAGCCTTGGAAATTTCTCCAAAGCACAGTGTTTTCCAAGTGGATTTTTTATGTTACCTTGCTGATATGACAGATGCTTTTCATGATGAAATAACACATCAAGGTATGAAAGCAAGACAGCAAGCAAGAGGAGAGGACTGTCTAAGCATGATGCTTTTTGAATTCCCCACTCCCCTCCAAGGATCCTCCTGCAGCTTCCCACCTTCCTCCCTCTCAGGAGCCCCAGGCTATCTTTTCAACATGGTGAGAATTGGCTCATCTCAGAATAAACTCCCTAGTGTGGCTTCTCTTTCAGCCTCAGGGATTGTTTTGTGATCAAATATTAGAGAAGTCAACAGCCCCATTTCTCTTCCCTTTGCCCCCTTTTCAGGGGAGCCCCTGGAGGAATCAAGACCCTAGAAGCCTGGTGGGCAGGTGGAGGAGCTAAGTCTCTATGGGCAGAATTCTCACTGAGAAGAAACGGAGATACACTCAGGCATCCACCTCATCTCTGCCTCACCTGCAGCCCATCTCCATCTCCTAGGAGCAGAGTGGGGAGGTCCCCACAGAAAGCCTGAGAGAGGTTGGAACACAGGCCAAGGGCATAAGGCTGTCAGCTCTACTTCCTGCATCCCCAGTCCCTGTGGCCCAGCCCAGCTGCTATTTTCCCTTTCTTTGGAGAGGGAGCTGGCAGGTGCCACTGGAAGTTATTTGTTCTCATTAGCTGGGTCTTCATGTGTGTGGTTATTCGCAACCTTCCAAGTGCCTAGGGCATATTGTTGGAGCATTATGGGTTGGGGCCCATTTCAGGATCATCTTGTGAGCTGATTAGATGCTGTAGGCACAGACCTCCAAACAGCAGTTCTATCCATGCATCTGGGAAGCTTAGCTGTTAACAGTAGCAGAAAAAGCTAAGAAACGGTCTTTACAGACAGTAAGGAGAAAAGCATTTGTATAACTTGCTAGCTCTTCTGCAAAAAACTGGAATCCTTCTGAGTAATATAACCTCATGTCAACAGCTAGAGACATAATGTATTAGTGTATCTTTGTTCAGTCTTCAAGTAGAGCAAACAATTGTCCAAAGTACATGCCAGAAGGAACTGTGTCTGCTATAGTCTGCAAGCCTATAGGGCAACTACTTGAATTGCAAAGATATAACACAATTCCTCCTGGGGGCTGTTACACTTAGAATATTACTCTGTGTCTTCCATTAAATCATGAGTAGAGTTATTTTATGTGACCACTGTTACAAAGAATGGTTTAAGTGAGGGTCCAGTTTGGCGGAAGAAAAGAAAATATTGATATTCGGCAGTTTTATGAGCATGTAAATCAAATCCAAGTTGGAGATCTGAAAAAAAGTAAATTATTTATAGTATGAATTAACTTTTGTACATTGTTCCTGATGCAACCTGCCTGGCTAGTTCAATTCTTCTGTTTTATTTGCCAGCAGGAAAATAGATGAGATATTGTTTGACTTTGAATTCTCAGCTTCTTACAAATTGGAGTAAATGTTTGAAAACTAAAAGACTTTCACAATCAGTCAATTTGCTGTTGGTCAATTTGGGTGAGCTGAAAAATCAGTTGTCACTATTGTGGTCAAGTATAAGAGTTAAAGGAAAAATAAAGCACCAGTCAGTCAAACTGAGGATTGTTCTGGTCTATGGTAAGTCTTATGTTTACCTCTTGAACTTGATCTTCACTGAAAAAAATACTTAAAAACACTGTTCCTCCAAAACCATAGTCAGTTTTAACAAAAGGCTTTTCTTTTTCACTTTGTGTCAACAAAGTAAATTTGGAAAGGCTTTTGATGGAAAAACATCCCTTTTATGCATGCCATTTAACTAATAAATTATGGATAATGTGATTCTTGCCATTTGCTGCTTGTGGTATAAATGCCTCCCAACCAAAAATTGATGACAGCCTGTGTTTTAATTTTCTCTGAGACTCACTGGTCTCCAACTGTCATTAAGGATGTGCTATTTTGTCAATATTGAGTCAAGAAACAATTAAGCTCTGTGAAAACATTCTTACTATAATCTGTTCCACTATCCTAGACAGGGAAGCAAGCACACATAGTTCAGCATCACCAAAAATAAATTTGTCACGGAGAGGAAAAGAATATGAAAGTGTGCCCCACAGTCTTGGGTTGGATATGCAATTACCATGGTGATAACATGAATATCACTGTGATTAGAACTGCCAAGCTGCTACCAGTCACCTCATATCAACATATCCCAGCTACCTACCTTCACAAGCAGATTCATAGAAATTTTCTGTCGTATGAAGAGAGGAGGAAATGAATGAATACAAGTACCTCATATCCAGAATATTCAAATATTTGATCTTGGTCTTTCATACTATCAGTTTCAGTTATCACACCAAATCGTCACAGTTTCTGTGTTGACTGAAGAATACCACCTAGCTCACCGTCTGCCTTAATTTTATCAGCACTTACAGCCATGTGAGTAGATAGCTTCAAGGTCATGGTGAAGTTTAGTAGATGATTCTTTGTCAAGTGCATTGAAATCTGAAGCTGAAGAAGAAATCTGAATACATATACAGAGAAACAGTGAAGGGTTATTGGAGAAAACGCCAGAGTTTTGAAAAATAAGGCATATAGTATTGGTGTTACATGTGACTTGGAGCTTGAACAGCATCACATGCCCTCTGCTAACCCAGTCACATAAGAGGAATGGGATCATCAATATTGGCATAGAGCAATCACCATTCACCTCTTTGGGTTAGGGAGAGGTCCAGCTTTCCCTGCTGTCCTAAGTTGTCTGACACCTGAAGGAAATTATGTTTCTGTTACCACATTAGTAAGAATTATTTTTGGTTGTATGCTGAAAGAAACTCAAAATGATAGTGATTTTCACTTTTCCTCTGTGTGAAAGTTTAAAGACAGTACAGCCCCATTACAACATCAGGTATAAGATTGTCCTATTTTCTGCCTACATGTATTTAATAGGTGACTTCCATTGTCAAGGTTGCTACTGAAGCTCCTTGAGATCACTTTCATCTCCCATTACGGAAGATGAAGAAGGAAGAGGCCAATCTCCCTTCTTAGAGATTCCTGTAAACCCAAGAAAATAGCTTGTTTATATCTTATTGGTCAGAACCTTGTCACATGGGTGCACATTGCTATAAGAGATGCTGGGAAATGTAATTAGGTTTGCTCAGACAAAATAAACTGGGGTTAAGGTGAGGATATATGGTGGATGGACTTCATATAATTTTATGAAATAGGACAAAGAAGCCTCTTGCAATTGCTTTATGTGGGACAGGGAGGGGATAGGGGGTAGAGACAGTAGGGGACATCTAACCAATGAACAATGAATATATCGTAATAATAAACAAATAAATAGTTGTTTTTTTTTTTTTTTTACTCAGAGGAAGGGGGGGAAATGGATGTCAGAGTCAATAATGACCAGACTATTTCCAGTGGCAATCAGGGGATGATGGCATAGGTGAGGACATGGAGGAAACAAGTTGTCTCTATTCTCAACCATTTAGCTTTCTGAATTGCAAGTAATTTTAAGTAGTGAAATAGGCAGCAAAGCAATTGGAATGAGAGGCCAAGGACACTGTAAATCAGTAAAATGTAGAAACTGTGTACAGATAATTAGGATTGGGTTTTGCACCACATAGTTTTCTTAGCCTTCTTGGAGTACTTTACATATGAAGGAATATTATTTTTCCAAATATGGAAATGTGCAAGTCAAGGTATGAATGAGCTTCAGCCAAATCATCTTAATTAGCAACAAGGTCACCTTTGGAAATAACAAAAACTACATAGAAGGACATGCTTGTTAGAAAAAGAATGAGATCTTCTAGAAGGACAGAGAAGAGGGTATGAGGCTAATTAGCTTTGGTAACCAGTGGATTGTTTATTGGTAAATTAGGGTCCATGGGTATAAAGTCACATTATTATAAATGGCAACTTTCTCTCTTTTTAAAGGTAGCCAACCAAGTTGTTCAAGCTTTGCTCACTCAAAAGGTAAGTCACTTTCTGCCTTTCTTTCCTTCAAAGTTCTTATGCGAATAGAATGCAGTTCACATTGTCAAACTGGGGAACACTGTTTATCACTTACAGCAATGAATGACCAATAGAATTGTAAAGTTTAGACTCTTGGTAAAGTAATAGAAAATGAAGGATTAACTCATAATCATTTTTACTTGATGATACAATCTTTACATAAGTGGGTGGACCCTTCTGATTCCTATGAAATAAATGTCCTCTTGGGGATAGCATTGAAAGAAGCCCAAAGTTCAGTAGGGGTTCTTTGAGGTTTGGGAAGTGGTTTGATTTCTCTGAAACTTAGTTTATTCTGTAGGCTGGGAGATGTGGGTAGCAGTCCTTCTCCCTGGATCATGCAGTAATCCTATGAAAGGAGGCCAGTGAAGAGCTTCCTGTGGGAGTCACTTTATTATAAAACTTCCAAATAAATGGGAAGCATGGGCACTGGGAAGCTCTGTGTTCCTCCCCAGTTGCCTCCCCATTCTTCCTTCAGACATCAGAAGATCAGGTAAACACAGACCACTGTTTGCCTATATTTGGCTGATTTGGTGAATTTTATTGAATGTCTCCCATGTCTTGTGGTAACATGTCTCAGAGTTTAAACTCCAGTTCCCTCAGATTTTGTTTAATCTGATTTCTCCTTCTACAAAGTGGAGGCTTTGTCTTCAGAAGGAAATCTCAGATTGTGCAGCACATCCAGGAGGATGTGACTAATAAGAGAAAAATCATTTGTACAATCTTGCTATTTTTAATTGAAAAGAATTTTATCAGTGATCAAATGCTTCTCATGGAGATGCTTAAATATTAACTTTTTTGCTAGACTTCTTCACTATTATATCTGTTAAAATGTCAACTTTTTTTTCTATAAACAATTTAATTGCTTCAGGTTTTACACTAACATCATATATATAAGGAGATGCAAGTACAGTTATATAGGTTAGACTTAGGTTCCATTATGAGTAATGGACATCCAAAACAGTGGTAGCTTCAATACACTAAAATGTTATTTCCTTCTCTCATATAAATTTAGCAGTAGTCAGTACCAGGCTTGTAGCTCAAAGTCCATGAGGTCCCTGGCTTCTATCATGGTTTTCCATGCATATGGTCCCCATTTCCAAGGACTCCTAGTGGTCCAAAATAGCTGTGCTAGCTCCAGTCATCATATCCACATTCCAACCATCAGAAGAAAAAAAAAATAGCTGAAGAATATGAAGAGAGAAAAGAGCAAATGCTGGCTATCTTTTAAAAGTGACTTCCAGGAACTTTCATAGATTCCTACCTTCATGTCATATAGCCGCACCTAAAGAAGCTGGTAAAGAAGTCTTTGTTCTGGGCAAGTACCCAGATGAAAAGCTGGTTGTCCTGTTACTATGAAAGAAGGTAAGAATCAGATATCAAAGGGCATCTCAGAATTTTTACTACAACATCTTTGAATGCTGTTTCTCTCTTTCAAAGATGTTAATTCTCAATTGTTCTCTTCCTGTTGGAAGCTATGCTTGTTTTATTACAAAAGTAAGGAATGAAGGGAGTGCCATTGTGACTGTACAGTGGTTGAAAGACTTCTTATGCCTGTCTCTTTAATGGTGACTCAAGAAGGAGACAAGGAAGTTGTCTGGTACAATAAAAAGGAAAACAGGTACCCTTCAGGTCAGCCACAAAAAAATAGTTACACAAATCCAAGTAATAACTGGTAAACAGATAAATCTACTTTGGTACAGTTAAGCAGTAAGGCACAGAAAGCCATGCTATTGTGAGCTAGCATACCTCAGGGACCACAGGAGGCAGGGGGAGATGTAGGGCTTTCAGAGATGCCAAAGAGTCATCTTCTGTTAAGATGTGTGCCTCCTGGTTTTACTGCTGCAAAAAGACAAAGATTTCTTTTTAATTAAGAGCACAATATAAGAAATAAAATACAATCCAAATACAGATGGGAAAACTAATTCTAAAGAATTGGCATACATTATGAAACAGGAATTTTGAGTGACTGATCCAGATCATACAGCAAAAATCCTTATGTGAAATTTAGTGTCATTTTTATGACACAAAGGCCACTATGGCTTCAGCCTTTGAACAGGCAACCCAAAAACCATTTCTCAGGGCATATCACCAGTTGGCTCAGAGCAGCATCCCGACGGATGAAAGTCAGTCAATATTGATGAGGAAAAAACAATTGTGTTTTCATAAACTTACATTTTCTGTTACATGTACATATACTGTCCTGCTCAAGTAATTCAGTTTATCTCAAAAACCAATGGCTTCTTTTAAAAGAGCAAACTGTACCACTTTTGTTCAAGTGAAACTCTGTTCACTTTCCATTATGCCTCTAAATCACTGATCCAAGCCAACAAATGCAAGTGAAATTCATAATTCAGGCTAAACTCTTATTTTTGTCTGGAATGTATTTTATCATCAGTATATCAATTATACTTGCTGAAAATGTGACTCTCCTAGGTTCTTCAGTGTTTTTTGCTGTTAACAACAAACTTGGAAGGAAAGCATTTTCCCTGTATCTGTTTTTCTTCTGAATCCACAATTTCATCTTTACCTTTATGCTAGTAGAACTTCCACATATTTATCTGGTGTTTGCCTTCAACAATGTTGAATCACACTGCTGTGTGATAAAATCCAGCAGTACAGTATATTTGGGTAGAAACAGAAAACCATTTTTTAAGCCTTGAAAGAACTTAAAACTCCTGCATCTGTCCCTTGTAGGATAGGCTGTTGGCACATCTGTGTCCACTTCTTCAGTAGTGCTCTGGATAGAGTCTGGCTCCTAAAGATGGTCTATTTGTATTTACAGGGCATTTGAAAGCAGTCATCCAGCACTTAAAATCCATTAAGACCTTTTAGTCTCATTGTAACTCTGTGATGTAGGAACAAGAAAATAATTTGCCCATAGTTGCAATTGCTAGGAAGTGGCAAAATAGATACATGTTCTTATCCTTGCACCATTGTGCCTCCCTGATCCCATTCAATCACTTATTGGTTTTCCCCATTGTAGAACAACAGGGAAGAGAGGAATGTGATGAAAATCAACATATGGATTGAAATCCAATGGTTAATTATGGTCATGGAGAAAAAAACCAAAAAGTCAGGATAAAAAAAACTTTTAAAAACTTCTGAAAAAACTACTGATTCTTTTTATACATGAGGAATAAAACTATAAATTTGGTTTCAAACTTTTTCAGAATTGATCTTACTTTGGACCCTAGAGTCTCACAATTGCCAGGTATCTGATGAACTTGAGGATGAAGACTTGCAGTATTCCATTCACCACAGGACTTACTACCTCCTCTGCATTACCCTGACTCAGTCTCACATTTCTGCCACCTGGCTTGCCTTTTAGGTATCTGATGTTGAGGCATTCATTTGTGAGGTGTGATAAGTCTAAACAACCTTGACAGAGACAGGGAGATGTCACTAAATGTACCTGAGAAGGAATGTGACAGGAAGAGGCTGGTGGGTCTGGCAGCCATTTAGATTCAGGGAATTAACTTGACAAGCCACTCATGAAGCGCGTGAGACATCCCGTTTCTTGAAAAGCCTAGTTTTCTGTGATGCCTCAGTTTACAGAGGAGGAAAGGGAGGCCTATTTAGAATATTTCACTTCATCAAGGTGACATAGGTAATAAGGACCAGAACTCAAGCCCTCTAACCTCCAGTCTGGTGTATTCCATGTTAAACTTCTGAAGGAGGTGTGGCTATATAATATTTTCCAGGATAAACTCAGATTTAAATAGTTTTCAACAATACTCCAGTGATAATGTCAGCAGAGTTCCTGTTTCTAAACAATCAGCATTTTCTTAAACTGACTTTAGCCTGGAGCTGGTAATGGTTTTGCTCCTCACACGCGTAAAGTAACCGTAGTCCCATAGGACTATGGAGCAGTGGTCCAGAATCTTCTTCAGCTCAAGTGCAGGTGAAACATACCTGGATTAGAGTGCATGGACCCTCCAGGGAAATCACTGTCTGGGATCACTCAGAGGGACAGGGTCTTTTAGACAAGTGTATCACATTGCCTTGTGTATTTCCCCTTTGCACACAGCTAAAATCCCTTTGTCTCTCTTTCCCGTAGATAGTGACATGCACATTGCAAGACTATTTTCTTGAACCCAAAGATCATTGTACTTCCTTATATGATATTGAGTGCTGTCAAATTGTTGACATTATTTCCCCATGGTAAAGTTAAACATCATTTCCCTTTTTTATATCAGAAAACACAGCCTTATATTTTCAGTGAGGTCCACTTCTTGAGGTCTGAGACATAGTTAGGGAGTCACGGGGAATTGTGATAGAGGACAGATGGGCCAGCCTCTGCCTCTGCCTCCGCTGTGATTCTAGAGCATGGCATCTAAACTGAGGAGAGCTATTTCATTTCTAAAGCTTTCCTGGGGAGCTATTCTAGATCTTGCCTCTGTAATTGGCAGGGTCAGAGTACCGCGCCTCCCTGTGTCATCCTCTTCTTTTCAGCAGTGCTTCTTATTGTGAGCACAGAGGAAGCAGATAGCCAGTTGCCACCCTTTGCCTGGGTATAACAGTAGTGGTCAGAGAGAGTTGTTTTCCTCTCTCTGTGTCTGGGCACACATGTGTGTTTTCTTTATAACTGGGATGTAATAGGACAGCAGCTATCTGGTGTCAGTGACCATCCACAGCACAAGTGGATATAGCAAGAATATTAAAAACAGCACAAACAATTCTTTTTCTAGCTGCAGATTTTCAGACCTGCTCCATTTCTGCTTGTCATTGTGAGACCAGCATCACATTGCAATAGCACTGCCTGCCACCTGCCACACGCTGAGCTGTGTGAGCCAATGGGGAAGTCTTTGGGGTCCTTGGGTTGTGTTCCCACTAACAAATGCTGACCATTGCCTTAGTAGAGCAAGTAGATAGTTTTACTTTCTTTTTATTATTTTACCCATTTGAAGAAGTCTTAAGTTTTTTTGCTGAAAATTGTGAGTGCTGTTGCTTTCAGGCCCCCCTTTTCCTTGCCAATCCACACTTGCATGCTTCTGTTTCCATATCTTCACCTGTAAATGAGAATGATTGTGTTTTCCCAGCCAATGGGTGCTGTTAATGTTTATCTGCCCCACAGTCAAGTTTTATTAATTACTTAATTAGTAGTAGTGAAAACAATTAGTGTCCAGGAGCAGAGAGTGTTATACACATGCTAAGAACAAAAATTAGCATGAGACAGACAGAGGTTGAATTCTAAATAAAAAAGCAAACTTAGCCTTGTAACTTGAGTAGGGAGCATCCCCACAATGGCCACTGCTGGCTGCCATGAGTGCCCCATAACAAAAGCACACAGCTGCTTAATGCCCTTCTGGATCGATCAATCAATCGTCTTCCCTCATCCCCAACATGGCATTTCTCCCCACTACCCTACCTGCAAAAACCAGTTGGAATCATCCTATCCTGACCCTCACACATTTAACTAAAAAAGATGAGGAGCACATACACTGTGCAGGGAGCCACATCTTGGCCTGTTTCTTTGTTGGCTGCAAGTGGAGTTAGTGGTACAGGATTTGATGGCATGTGCTCATGGTACATCGCCAGTAGCAAGAGCTCTCTATCCTCCACTCACCTCTGTGACTGCCATTTAGCCCTGGGGACCAGAGCTGATACTGGTGCCCTCCCTTGCTTACAGTAAGGCTCTCAAGGAAGGCCTGTAGCTGCTCCATGTCAGAATGCAGAGATCCACAAAGTAGAGTGTGATAACTCTTTATCACACCAGTCACTGGAAAATGGAATTCACCATCATCATCATCCCCTCTAGCAAAATTTATGGTAATTGCAGTAAATAAATGCAGGCATTTATTGAGCTCCTACCATATGTGATGGAAATTTAAAAAGTGTGTAAGAGCAATTTGCTTGTGCAGTTATTCATTTTGATATCTTCTTGTGTTGGCCTGGTGAAGAATGTGTCATCTGACTGGCAAGATTAGTGTAGAGCTCAAAAGATGAAATGCACATGAAGTAGTCTGTGCTAAGTGACACAGGGAAGGCATTGAAGGCTTAGTGGGGTTCAGAAAAGAAAGCAGTCTTTGGTGGAAGCCAGGTAAAGTTACAGTGAGATGATGATGTTTGAACTGGACTTCAGTCAGTTGCCCCAGAAGATATGGAAGGGAAAATGAAGAGGGAACGGCAGACCTTTGTTCTCTACACCATGAGAGGAGAATACACTCTTTTACATTAGCAAATTATGAAAGGTAGAGTTTGAAAATATAGAAAAGGATGGGCTTTTGAAGAACATTGATTATGGACTATATTCTTCTTGGTCTGCCTTAAACCCCATCAAGGAAGGTGGAGGCATTCAAGTCCCACAAGACCCTCAATCTCAGGTGAGATAGTAAGGCAGCAATCCATTGGGTCCAGTGAATCCTAAACCCTCCGTGAGTCAGCCCTCTGCTTCAGAGCTGGAGAAAGCATCTCAGAGGTGTAAGAACTATTCAAAAGAGCAACTCCAAAAGGTGGCCCAGATGGGCTTATGGAAGTGCCCAGTCCCTCAGCATGGGGACCAGAATGCCCCCAGAAGATAGGGAAATCCACTGACTTGCTAAGTGGGCAGGTTACCATGGCCTTTAAAATCCTTCACTTCTGTTACCCCTTCCTACTATATGCATCAATGACTCTATTAGCCACAGCGTGGAGAATCTCAACTCCTTTCCACAAATGACATCTAAAGGCTCTATCAGAAGTGGTAGTTTCTTTAGTTCATCAAATCTCTATTCATTGCAAAAACATCATTGTCCTTGTGGTGAGAACTTTATGATTGCTTTCATGAATATACTGAAAAGGCAGAATATATAGGTGGAAACTTAAATTGACTTTATATCGCTGAGATTTACCGTCTTCAAAAATAGCATGCTACATTAATACATTTCTGATTTCAAGGTGCTTCTTTTTTTAAATTGGTCTTCCCTGCACATAATAATTCTATCACACAATGGTCTGTGAAAGAAAATGTTCTTTGCAATTTATTTCTGGGGGCTTTGAAGAATAAAATACTATTTATTTACTAACGTTTCTAAAGTGTCATATAAAATATGGTATAATATACAAATATGCTTTTTTTCCCTTCAATGTGTTTGTTTGTTATAGGATCTACGGGAGGAATGTGTAAAGTTGAAAACAAGGGTATTTGATTTGGAACAACAGAACCGAACACTAAGCATCCTGTTTCAACAGCAAGTCAGACCAAGTTCTGATCTGATCCTCCAGGTATGTGTTTACATGGAAAGAATAATCTTTGCTACTGAAATGCTATTGACAGGAAGTTTCTTAAGTTCAAAAGTTACTAGCATCTCTAGGGGCAAGGTAATTGCATTAAAATCCCAATTCTTTCTTATCTCAGGATATATCATTATAATTGAATGTCTCTTAAATTCTTGACTTTTTAAAAGCTACATTCAAATAAAGAAATTGCACCAACAAAGAAAGCACAGGTAAAAGGATCAATCAGAAAGTGTCCTGTGGTAAACTACGTGGAACCATGGAATGGAGTTGGGAAATAACTGATTGCTTTGGGAACCACTTTTAGTAAACATACATTCTACACTGAACAAGGAAGAGTTTCCTACAACACCAAAACACGTTTCTGTATTCCAAACTCTCTATGATCAAAAATATAGTGGGGGTTTGTTTGCTATCATCTTTCTGTCTGTGCAGAGACATACTTCTCTCTGTGCAACACAACACTTCTTAGAGTCTAGTTCACTATTTCAACAGGTCCTCTTTGTCTGAATTTTCTCACTGAACTCTTCCTTCACTTGCCTTCATAACATGGAAAGTTCTAGAAAGTCAAACCATTTTTATGATTTTGATGCTGGCCCTAACAGCACTCTGGAGAATATATGTCCCAGGAGGGAAATACATGAATTAGTAGAGAGGGTTGGAGGACTGATCTTTGCTGTTTCCAATCTTTTTGATTCTTTTAATGTTCATATTAGCTCCAAAAGGATCCCAAGAGCAGTGAGCTCACAGGTTTTCTGGCCCAAATTGTCAACCATGCATTGAGTTTTCACAGGGGCAGTATGCAATTTGCAAAGATTTATCCACAGCTTCTTGGTCTCATTGGTTGAGAGAAAAATCCTTCTCTAACCTTTCATCATCTAGACTAGACTGTTCAACACTGGACTCACTAACTATATAGGACTATTTAAATTTTTACTTTAAAAACTTGCATTAAATTAAAATTAACTTCCTATTTCCAAGTAGATACATTCTAAGTCTTCAAAAGCCACATGTGGCCAGCAGCTATTATATTAGACAGTGCACAAGTAGAACATTTCATCATTATAGAAAGCTCTACTGGACAGTATTTTCTAAATGGTTGAGACTGTGTTGCTAATTTGCCCTCTGAATTTTGGCATAGACATCTTAGAACTCCTCAGAGAAATAATGGGAAATTGCAATTCATTTCAGAGAAAGAAGGATGTTTGGTAAAGCTGAACATCAAAATGTAATTCCCCCCCCCAAATTAAAATAAAACAGCTCTCTGAATACAAAGTCGATCTCATCTCTTAAATTAATTTCCTCTCTGCTTTATCTGTTGGAGCATAATTCATAATTTATGACTCAAAAATTGTGTGGGGGGCAGAGGGGAAAGTCATTTATCTCTATTCTGTTTCCTGGTCCCAACCATAATAAATGTTTGTCATAGGGGATCTTGCATTTGTACAAAGCCATGTTTCTTTTGCAATCTCATAATCAAGATCCAATATTATAATTCCTTCTAACAGCTGTTGCCTGTTCATGAATTTTTCTGTTTTGCCTGTTTTAACTTGAAGCTCTCTGAAACAGTGTTCAAGGGTCTGCAGTCCCTATTTATGAGTCATGATTCTTTATTTACACAGTGAACACGTGTGCTGTAGATATTTAAACATTTTCATTGGCTGTTGTAAGTTTCTTCAATCCATATTCAAATGGAAGGGGAAAAGTTATATGCAAGCAACAGAACTCAGTGTTTACTCACTGGGCCTTTTCAGTCAGCAAATTTTGTATTCTTCTCCAAATAATTTTCACTTCCAGGAGCCACTCTAATTTAAATAATATTTGTCCAAGATAGATTGTTAATAGTTTTATGAAGAAGAATGATAGAAAGTGTGATGCTTGCCCTCTAAAATCTTACAGCTCACAGAGAAAGGAAGTTGTTGGCTTTTCAAGTGATCTGTTAATTAGTTCACTGATAATTTCATTTTCTAGTGATACTTTTGAATCTAACTGAACCAAGTATATACCGTGAAGCTTAAAAGAGCGTCTGAACTTGCTTCATATCCATGAATACTCAGTAATTTCTTGTTGAATGGGATAATGAATAAATGATAAATTCATTCTGTAAATTATGGGGTTATTTTGCATAAATCTAGGAGGACTTTGTGCCTATGCTTCTTCTTCTGAAATTTCCCCATGTTATAAGGATGCTTGGATGCTGGGCAGTTTGGTTCTGCACAGTCTGGTTAAGAGTATGGAAGGTAGAATGCAGTAAACTCACAAATGTGCACCTGGCTCCAAATATTATAGACCCAGTGGCTACTGCCCATGGACTTCAGATTCAGTACTGAAGAATTCTAAGTGATTGTCTGTATGGTTTAGAAAACTTTCCAGTTGTTCTCTAATGAACGTAGTTTTAGGATTCTCTGCAATGTGAAGCAGCAACATAAAGAGAAATATAGAAAGAAGATTTTGAACACATTGTGATTTTAATAAATAAATTATAAGGAGAAAAAATTTATAAATAACAGTGAAATTGGGGAAAAAAAGATTACATGGATACCATTTAGCAAGCCTTTATATAAAACAAAAAAGGAAAAACTAAGAATTAGTTGACAGATTCTGATGACTTACAAATGGAGCTAGGTAACCAGGCACATTGGTAGTCCCAGCTCCTGGGAAACTGAAGCTGGAGGCTCACTTGAGCCCAGGAGTTCAAGACCAGCCTGGGCAACTTAGTGAGTCCCCCTCTCAAAAACAAAACAAAATAAAAAGGGGGATCTAGGTCCATGATAGGAGAGGGAATTTCTGAAAATTAAAATCTTGAGATTCACAATAAACTTGTCTATTAATTCTAATTTCTAAAATGGTATGTCTGGGAAAATGGGTGGTAACAATTCAGATTAGGAAGATATTCCTCTATTAAAACCAACAATTTGAACTAAATTCCAAAGAATCAAGAAGCCAGAAAAGCAAATAAAATCCTAAAGCAATATTCCTGTAGGGACTGGAGTCTACATGATCATATCTAGATTAACCAATGCTCACCATTTCCTCTTGTAAATCACATTGAACAACCCCTTTACTATTAAGCTGCTATGTTGGCAGCTCACAAAGCGCTCTCCACTAAATGTACCATTTCTCTTACCAGCTGGGTTGTAAGCACACCAAGAATGAGTTACGTGTATAACAGCTTGTTTATGTAAGGAGTATGTGTCATGATAATTATGTAGTTAAAAAATTAATAATGTAATCTTTATCCTGTTTTATTCAGTGAGCTATGATACAAAACAAGAATTGTTCCAATAAAAAAACTCAAGTGTTTCAAAAGCTTCTATATAGGCAAGTTGCTAATAAACAATTGAATATTGGTGTCAACTGTAAGAAAATCATGCGAGACTGTGCATTGTGTTACAAGCACAGATTCTGTGTGTGAACTGCTCCTCAAATGGTTGTGGGGTTTTTTGTTGTTTTTGTTGTTTTGGTAGAACTAGGGAATGAACCCAAGGCTAGGCAAGTGATCTACCACTGAGCTATGTGTCCAGCTCCTCAAATGGCTTTAATGGAAGACTATAAGTCTCTAGTCAAGGAAGCAACACTTTCTACCAAAACTCACTGAGCAACCACATAGCGCTTACCTTTTGTCAGATATTATTCTACAACATTTAGCAATTTGATCTTTTACAGTCCTAGGAGATAGGACCGTTACACTCATTTTACAGCTGGGGACATAAACTTAGAGAGGCTAAGTCACACAGCTGGTGTTGACAGAGTAATGATTTAAATCCGTAAATCTGTTGAAATTGAGTCTGTCCTACTCCAGCCTCACTCCCATTTGGTGTTCCCTCTGTATGGCACATGGATGGTAAAGAGGATCATTTTTTAATTCCCCATGTTAAGTGACATTTTGATGAACTGAGGAACTGATCGACCTGTTTTATCAGTGGATGGTCTCAGATGACTCAGATCCTTAAGTCTATGAACAAAGCATTGGACGAGGCACAGATTGCAAGTGTACTACAGTTTTACTGAAAGAAAATGAAAAGTATAGTCAAGAGGAAACACCACAAGAGAGAGTGGTGGGCCCTGGCCAGATGGCACAGAAGCCCCAATCTTAGTTCAAAGAGCAATTTATAGGTTGTTGGACAAACAGCAGGAAAAATCTGGGTTGTCTTTGCAGGAGGGGCTAGAGTGATTGACAAGTTTGATTGACAGGAGGATGTTATCTAATATATCTTTGTGCATGTTGCTACCTATAATGCATTCGGTTATAATTACATACATGAGATGCAGTCGATATATATATGTATATATGGAGCTGTAAGTGGTCATCTGAGGACAGAGGACAGGTTCCCCAGCCCTCAGCACATACACTACCTTGAGGACTTTCTCTTCTGCACAAGCACCTTCTTTTTATCATTATGTAGTGGCTATTGAATTAATCACAAAAAATGAAGTTCCAAGAAAGTTCGCAGATCTCCTGAAGGGGACATATCCTATACTGGACTTGGGGCATGTCTTAGGCAAGACTTTTATGATACTTTATCTAGTTAATCTCTACCTTCTCCTGGCCAAATATACTTCCCTACTCTCCTGTCTTACTGTGGTCAAGTGGAGCACAGCCTTCTTTAGTAGACTCACAATCAGAGACCTTCTGTATTTACACATTCCTGAAAGGATCATGGTTTGTGGCACCTAAGATTTTCCCCCTCTCAACTCTGTTCTTCCTTTGTCTTGTTTTGGACACTTGTGTTCTTGTTATTCAGATAAGATATTATTCTCATATTTTCAACCTAAGACAGTTAATTTTTCTTTTCCTTTTGATCTGATATTTCAAAGGGTTCTACTATCTATATCCATAAGCCAAGATAGAAAAGGAAAAGAACTCTGTAGTGTAGACTATTCATGTCAGTGGTGGAAGGTGTGACAGCTTAGATCTAAGGTACAAAAATTTGCTGTCACTTCTTACAGTAATTTCTTTTTTGCTAGTGTTTTGTTTAAGATTATTA